AGCATCCAGAGACCTTCTTACCCAGATGTCACGTTGTTAATGTTTCCATGGGAAATAAGAAAGTTTATGTATTTATCTATACGACGTAGATCCAGTGCATTTGTACTCGCCTAAAATTACACATGCAACTGCTTACAGCCAGGATTTCTCTCCAGAGGCACACGGTGGCTGCTGGGCTCAGCTGCGTGTTTCTGCCTTGCAAGCATCACAGTCCCCTGGGATCGCTCGCTCTTTGAGTTCAGGGTCTCCCGGCCATGGCTCCTCTCTGCTGTGCTAGGAGTCACCAGGCTCAGGCCCCAGGCCTCTGGGTGTTTCCCTCTCCCTTAGGTGCTGTAGATATGTTTTGTTCCAAGTCACAGCGCTGCCTGCAGAAGTCGCAGACTTGTGCAAATTGCTGCCCTTGCAGTTAGGAGACGTGCAAAACGCAATGTTTGTGTCAGAGCAGCCCTGGGGATTGTTTAGGCACTCATCATTTCCAATCTGCTAAACTTGCATCGTACTGTAAAACACTTTGCCAAAAAAACAGCACCTCTTTGGTTTGTCTTCTGTGAACAGGCCGTTTAGGATCAAATGCTGCACGAACCCAGGTGTGGTGATCCCGTAAATCGCAAGGTACATTCCCTGAAGGTCCCTGTGAAGCCTCAGACGGGCACACCCCTGATTGATGTGGTCTTGCTGCTCACACTGCCACATGAAGATCTGGTGAGCAGGGGTCACAACTAGTGCCACACAAGATTCCCCCCAAAACGGAGATGAACCCTGGGGGAATCTCATTTGCTTTGGTGTCCTTGGGCACTACCAGATGAGTAAACTTTGTAGTCACAAAACACTGCTCTAACTTCAGAGCTTTTCTGGCAATTTTCTGCCTTACCTGTTTGGTGATAGACTGGACAAAGGCTAATTTGGCGTGCTGGAGAACAAATAAAATTGTCTGCATTTGAGACAGGAGGAGCTGGTGTGTTATGAGCAAGGTACCCCACTCAGCTACGCCAGCCTGGCTGCTAAATACCAGTGCAATGCAGCAGTGCTCAGGTACAGAGGAGTCTGAGCCTACAAGAGAGCAGAGGTGCGCTGACATGAGGTTTTCTTCCTTTTCCATCTTTCTGCTGACTGAAGAGGAAGAAGGAGAACCAGAGTCTTGCAGCAACCCCCAGTCACTGCTGTATAATCCCAGTTCCAGCCTTTGATGGCTCTAGGAAAATGGCAGGAGCTCTGCTTGGCACCATTAACCTTGACTGTCAGGGCAAGCCTGCTGAAGGAAGAGGCTCTCCAACTTCTTGCTTTGACCCTATAATATACCAGGTTAGTCCTAGTTTAATTCCAGTAAATTCAATAGTTACTCCAGGGATCAATTTGTTCTGAAGTTTTTTTTTTTTTCAGTGCTTTCATACATAGAAGTGTCAGGTATTATTAGCAACAGAAGTTTATCTTGTGAGATAGTATTAAGAACCCGATAGAAGTGTGATTTTGTTTCATACTGGCAGAGAATATAGGAAATGCTGTTTGACTCCCTTCACAGCATGGATTAGCAAAATTAGACTTGTCTCCTTTGCACTAACAAGCCCCAGAACAGACTGTGAGCCATTAAATAAAGGAAACTCCTTTCAGACACATACACACACAAAAGCTGTGGGAAAATAAATCACCTAGGCTTCTAGATGGATAGATTATTACAGAGTTCATATCTGCAGGGCATCTTCTCTGCAGGGCTATTTTGTGCACGATGATATGACTTTATTATTTTATTTACATTTCCTTAACAGTTCACATGACTTGTTGCTAAGGGAAATGCTGCAGTTGCCTGGAATACCCTTTTATATTTACATCACACACACGCACAGCTCTGCCTGTACACCGACTTGGTGCTGCTTGACTAATCAGCAAGTAATATGATGGGGCTGTTAATTTAACAGCTTGAGTCAAGTTTTAATCTCATAAGAGTACTGCTGGAACTTCATTTTATTTTACCATTTGCTTATTTTTCCTTTCTTTGAATTTTTCAGGAGTAATACCTTTGGAAGCAGGTAAATCCTGTTCTCTGAGGCTGCAGGTAATAGTGCTTGCCTTGGGCAATATTTGCAGCACCCAAATATTAAAGCACTCAAATAAGTGACCAGAATCTACCTTAACCTTCAGGGGCCACCAGAACCTGGGTGCCAGTTACACCCCAGTTAAGTGAGGGTTTGGGTTAACGTGTTCCTGGATAGGCACCACGAACACTTGAAATTTTCCCCGAATCTTTGGAAAACCTGTTCTCAAGGTGAAACCCTGAGTTTACCTACTGGAACAGAAAGACTTCATTCATTTTAGTCCTGTGGGCCTTGACTCTGGCTCCAACTACTTTCACTTACAAACAAAGCTCAACTTTGAGTAGAAGTTAGGTGAGGACAATAAGCAGATATTCTGAAGTTTTTCTTTTCAAAGCGTGTCTGGGTATAAGTTTGGTTCACAGACTGTTCACACAGAAAACAGTAAACAATAATGTTTCAAAGTATTCCTGGAAAATTGCTCCCACGCCTGTTACCTTAAGCACACATCATCCTCTGCTTAGCTTTGCAGAGGACTGTGCTAGGGAAGTTGTGGTTTCAGAGCTTACACCTCAGGCAATGACGCTGAAGGTGTAACAAGAAAATTGCCATTTTTTCCTCAACAGATTCTTCTGAGTTGCAAAGAAGTGACCCCTCCGTGACATTTTCCCCTCTTCATTGCCTCACCCAGACCTCCCCAGAGTATCAGAACTCCTTTAAACTTTTCAAGATACCAGACTTTCAAATGGCAGACAGGATCCTAACATTGCCAAGCTTTAGAGCTTCATAAAATACCAGAAAACTGGTTGAATGACACAAAAACATTGCTCACATCAAAATAATGTTAATTTGGTTCTGAATGACTGTGCTTTTTGACCACAACCACGTTCCTCGTCATTAACTACTCTCAGATGGTCACACTAGACTACTTCTGCTCACACGCGTGTTTAACGAGTGACTGTCTTTCAGAAAAACTGAGTAATCGGGCTTTTGTTCTCAGAAAGATTATTAACGGCACAGCCATGTGTTATCTGTCCTCTCATTCATTATTTATCAGTCGTAATCCTTATTTGGGAAGTTCTAGTTACCCAGTCAGCTAAGAATGATACTATCATGCCACTTGTGCCGTAATTTCATAATCTGTTTAGGCCATGCAAAGCTGTCACTGGCTCTGGAAGACGGTGGTACCTGCCCATTCTTGTCCCTCATCCCATCTTCCAGCACAGGAATTCATTGTTCTTTCAGAGAAAGAAGCCAAGAACCTGGTCTGGCTTAAAACTAACACCACAAAGGAAAAGCTTGGCCAGACAAACACTTGTGTTTGTGCACAAAGGAGCTGGCAACACGGGGCGTGCAAATGAGTTTCTGGAGGAGAGTTCAGTCTTCTGGTGCCCTGTGAGCTGGCACCAGTGAGATGACTGATACCCTGCCTGAGGAGGGGCTGGTGCATTGCCAAAGCAGTGGGTTTGTGACTGCCCTACACGTTGAACATGTTCTAACTTCTCCTAGACATGGATGCCTCCTCTTGCAAGGGGGAAGCGACCTCCTAGGTGCCCTTGGGATGCCTGTGGTACCAGTAGGCAACACCATAGCACCGTATGCCAAACACACTGCTGGGAGTGACAGCGTGGCTTCACATAAAGGCACCAGGCAGTGCTTCCCTACTCCCACTGGAAGAGTTGGCTTAGTTTTATCAACAGAAAGAAAAGATTTACATTAATCAAATGATCATTTTTTATCATATGAAACTTCCTGTCCAGTGTAAGTTAGGAAATTTCTGCCCACGGCCCCTGTGCTGTCACCACGTTGCATTTACTCATGTGTTGATCACCCAGTCTAACTACCTGGGATGGCAGCCAAGTGTATGCCTCTGTAGAAAGGGGAAACCCACTGTTTTTAAAATTCATGTTATCAGATAAAGAGCAGTATGGCAGAGTATAGCTACAAACCCAGCACACTTTGAGGCTCTTACTAACTATAACAAAACACAAACCCAACCACCAGTGCATCACCCTTTCTACCTGAAAGGGTAGAACAGTACCCATTGACCAATGTATTTGCCCCCTGCAGAGATTTTTCTTCAGCTCCCGATAAAACAGAGCCCCAGTGTGGCTCATTCTCTAGTCACAGCTCAGCTGCTAGAAGAGCTGGGCTTTTCTTTTTGGCATGCCTGGTCCTCCCACTCTTCCTTTTGCTTTTAGTATTTTCTGATGGATTGTTGACTCTTGGTTATTCTGCTTCTCCCTCAGCCCTGGATAATGCACACAATGCATCTGGTCTTGTTTCTCTTAACTGGGACTGAGAAACAAAGCAGCACATCTCAGCAATGCATATTGGTTTTTGACCTTGAACAATTTGTTTGTGGGTTTGATTTTGCTGCTTCCTCTTCCAGTGTCTTCAGTAACTTCAAGTCTCTTGAGTCCCTCTCATCTCCTGCCCAAGGTCTCTTCCTACTTTGTGTTCCCAGAACCACTTGTCATACAGGTAAAGGGAAGCATCAGTTCACTACAAAGGGAATTATATGTTTAAACACCTCCAGTCTGACACATATTGACTTTTATTTTAGGAGGTAGCACGTAAAACACAAATGAAATGTAAGCTTTTGGGGCTTTCTGTTAGGTCAGGCTACAGCCAGTCCATCACTGACACCTGATCACAGACCATGCAAGCCACCTGCCTGCACCTACCCAGCTGCAGACTTTCCCTGGAGAAGCAGTTTGTGCTGGTTCATTTCCATTACCCATTTCTAAATCCAGAGTGGTACAATGACATGCCTCCAGCCCTCTATACCACTTTGTGTCTGAATCAGACCCTTTCCCTTTGCAGAATCTTCTACCTTATCTCCTACCCTGTCACTGCTGAAGTTGTCTCTGAACCCACATGCTGAGGGTGACCCCGTTCTCCAAGCCCACCCACATACTCGGCTCGTTATCCTCTACCCTGGCTGCTCATCAAGCATTGGGCTTGAACGTGTGCTAAGGCCTGGCCTGGAGATGGGACAGCCCCGCATCCTGGGGTGGATGGGACACCCTGAGACCACCAAGAGGTTCACACAGAACGAGTGTGTCAAAGAAAACTGTACATGGGCTTAAAGAAGATCTGTGTGTACTGCTTCAGACACATGGGCCTCTTAAAAGAAGATGCAATTAAGGCCTTTCAGCTGAGGGTGCGCCACAGCTGCAGGGCTGAAGACCCATTGGCTTCCCCTACAAAGTTATTAAGGTTAACTCACAGCACTTGCAGCCCTCCTGCAGCAGTTAGAGAGAGGTTTGGGTTGTCTCAGAGCTCAGTTTTTCCCCATAGCACAAGGGCAAAGTTGTCTTTAACTGCCCAGTCAGACCTACAGGAGGATGATGAATTATGGTCTTGAACAGGGTTTTGTGTGAGGTACACCAAGGAAAATGGGTTGTTCTTGTGGAATCCCTGTTCTTTTGCTTACTTTTTCTGCCTCTGAGGACAGTCAAGCTGCCAGAAGAGCTGCAGAGGAGGGTAGGTGTCTGGGCATTTGCCTCCCTCAGGAGTGATCGTGGTTGTGTTCTTGGTCAGTGCTGCGTTTGTGTGCCCTCGCTGCAGGATGGTCTCAGCCCCAGCTGACTGAGCCCCTTCCTGCCTTCTGCTTGCTGTCTGCCATCTACTTCCACCCATGTGTTTGGTGTACCAGCTACTCTGGATGAAGTAGTCCCTTTTTGCAGAAACCCGTTGTATCCTTTATTGTGCGAACTCTGCACCCTGTGTTTTAATGTCAAGTTGGCTCTGTCCCCTGCCATTTCACTTGCCATTTGTGCTCAGCTCCTGACTGCTTGAAAAAACCTTAATGCTGACCTGTATTTACTGATGATTGAGCTTTTCATGGCTTTGTGAAGAAGTGCTTGCTGCTTTTGATCGTGGAGAGAATTAACGGAGAAAACCGGCACAAGCTGCCTACCTTTTTGAAATCTTAAGCATGAATCTTTCTTTTCATTTAATGTCTCATTGGAGGTGATTTTCAAAAGTTATAGAAAAGCTCTTATCGTACAGCATACATCTTGAAAAGGCTTTTTAAGAATCAGTGTAATTCTTAGGAGTTGTGGTGTGCTGTGTGTTTTTTTTTTTTTTCCCCAGAAAAACTTAATCCAATGCTGTTTTTAAACTTACGGTAAGCTGTGATGAAGTACAGAAAATCACAGAGAATGAATTACCATCTTCCAGTCATCAGAAGCTCACAGGTTTTGCCTCTGACCATACCAGTTTTTTACAGGTACGGGAGATCAGACCAGAGGGAAAGAGTGAACAGAAATAGCTTGTGTACTTAGGAAGGAAGGATGAACCTTGTTGAAAAGGATGAGCTACCGTATGTTGTTAAAGGCAATCACAACGTGAAGCACAAAACCATCATCGCCCACAAATGTCTGTGTTTGGAGGGCCCGGGGAACTTTGTACTCAAGATGTGAAATGAAAATTTGAAGGACTTGGCTGGCAATGTAACCCAGCTTGCTAGTTCTGTGGGTAGCTCTTGGAACTGATGAGGGTTGTCTGGATCGCTACTGCAGGCTGCCCAGGCTCTGAGTGGGAGCAGTGAGTGCAGCTCTCAGTGGGTTCCCTGATCCTTAGTGCTGTGTTCTTAGTTCTCAACTGCACGTAACGAGCAGTCTGGTCAACGTGGTGTAAAGCACTTTTCTTACCTTCTTATTCTGAGAAGGTAGTTTAGTAACTTACCAATAAGAGGCCATAGCGGCTTCCTGGGGGAATCCAGGCAACAATAATTGAGCATATCTGCATGCTGAGTCTCTTGGGGATATGCTTTTGAAACCTTGAAGTTTTCACAAAAATCACACTCGTATTTAGGAAGCATTTGACTAATATTTTCTTAATATTAGTTAGCTCAGACAAAGGAAACCAGGAAACTGAAATTAAAGAAAACTCTGAGCATAAAATGTTGCTTATTGCCACACAACTTGCTTGTAACAGAGGATGTGTAGCTCAGATTTTAAAATATTGCAGCCTCCAGGTTATTTTGAAAAGTGAAAATAAGAGTAAATGTCAGATTCTGCTGTGAAGTATTGCCAATCCACTGTGAGCAGCTATCTGAATCTTAAATTTCGTAGTCCTCAGGATGTGAATTTAAGACACAAGGTGTTGTGTGGGGTTATTGTGAGACTCTTGGGACTGCTCACAGCAGCCGCGGCATGGCCAAATCCTTCATGCAGCTTATTTGTTGCCCAGGTCCGGCCTCGGCCTTTGGGGCTGTGCTGCCCCAGAGCCTTGTTCCTGGCACCCTTCCTGAGGGTAGGCAGCTGGTGGTGGTCCCTGTCTGCCTCTGCTTCTCTTAGGCACCCCGCCTGATTTGCCAGGTGTGCGGCACTTCTTACTCTAGAGGTCAGTATAATGTTAGGAATGGAACTGGTGCATGCCCAACTCGTTTTCCCTGATGAGATGTTCCAGAGTGAACTCTAAATTATACTGCTTCCAATATAAGATGGAAGAGAAATTTCATACTGGGGAAATGTACTTGTAAAAGCACAACAGCCAATATGGGAAGCTCAGAGGGCGTTAAAGAAAACAATCATTGAGCCTCTTTGTTGAATGGAAGTTATGAATGCACTAGTAGTAATTTTCTGAAGCCATAGACAATAACATAATGTGAGTGGGTGATGGAAGAAATTACATAGGGTGAAATTTAGAGAGCTGACAGCAGCCTATGCATCACTTAAGACCTATTTCTGAGGGCTTAATTGCGGCTTAAATAGCACACAGGCCTCGTGCTCATCTTCTGCATAGAAACAAATTCCGTCTCGAATGAGCACCGTGAGCAGAACATGGAAAATGTAATCTGATCAGCTGTAAAACTCCGGCTTTGGGGAAAGGGTGCTCTGAACTGAGAACAGATGTGGGCAATGCAGATCTGTGCTGTAGCACACACACTATAAAGGTCTAATGCTGTGTTTCGCCATCGGATGCACTGATGTTAGTCCAAAGGGATACCATGAGAATATCAATCTTTAAACAAATGGGAAAACTGAGTAACGAGCACACCCCAGGACACTGGGGTAATTACTCCATTTGTGAGCTACGTGGCTGATAACACTAAAAGCAATCCCGCTTATGAGTGCTTCAGAGGCATTTATATTATTTTGGGCTGGCTGTCTACAAATATTCAGACTTAGAGGTAGGAAGGCTTATAAAAATAAATTTTCAGCTTGGTTGTATGGCTGTGTAAGAGGAATCAGGACTGGACAGTCGTGTGTTTGCTACAAAATGGTTGCGTGCTAGTTCAGTAAGAGAGCAGCCAGAGCTCTGCACACACTCCCTGAGAGAGATCAAGTTGGAAAGCCACTCTGCATAGTGCATATTGAACACTTCTCAGTCAGTTCCCAGAATGTTTAAAAAAAGGTATGGTGGGCAGAATTAAAGCTGAACCCACTGAACTCTTCCTTATCTTTACATGCTTGGATTTCTTGTAATATTTAACTTTTTCTTTGCGTTTCCTGGACTTAGGATTCTTAGTTCTGAGAGGATCAATATTCCCTTGTAATGTATTTTGACATATGTTCCCGATAAGCGTTTTCAACTTGAAGTCCTAACAAAGGTTATTTTTGTCAGGAAAGAAAAAGTAAATCAGAGTAGTCTCCTTATGGCCATTTTGAAAGCAGAAATGAAGACAAAATATTGGGACTACACTAACAGTGCTTCTCAAAACACAAAGCTCGATGAATTTAACTATTTTCCTCTTAATTGAGAGGCAACCTGCAAAGCATTGCTGTGCTCTGGAAAGAGATGTGTTATTCGTCTGCCTGTTAAATAGTCTGCATGAATTCTGTTCCGGTTCAAGGTTTGTTCACAAACCATTCACAAATTGTCTGCTTGTATTATTCACACTGTGTGATTAGGCATGTGGTATATTTTCTGCTCTCCGACTTAATGACTGAAACATTTTGACAGGGAATAGCAAACGGTGAACGACAACCAGTAAACAACATACAACTTGGGGCGCTTGCAAACACTTTCAAGAGTATTAACAATCGGAAGAACAATGATTCATGTCTCCATCACTCAGCTACGGATGTATTTAAGTCCAGATGTATTTGCCCAGCTCTGGGAAGCTTGCAAGTAAAATTTGCAATGAATGATGTCTCTTTGACTCGATCCAAGCCTTACATTACTTGTAAGTAGTCTAATTCTGAAAGTTGCCCACAAAGGAGCAAATTCTGATTTCCATTATCAGAATGATTAACTGAAGGAACACGTCTGTCCTCCAGCAGGACTGTTGACATGGATAGGTGCCATACTCTTGTTTGAGATATAGGCATGGCGCTAAAGTCAATTTAACAGTCTACGTTAACGGTAGAAATGCTACATCTCCGAGAGATAAGACCAAGTTATGTTTATTTAAAGATATCCTGATACTTTTCTTCCAGTACAAAAATTAGCCTAGCTTTAGTTGATAAACTTCACTCTTGGTTTCCGTGCAAAACCTATTGCATTTCTTCACTTCTTCAGGTTGGCAATTGAAAAACAACCTTATTTCAATCCAGAAGGCTTTGAAATGGTGGATTGTGTGTTTCTCACACAGAATGTGTAAATTATTTTTTTTAATGCCACAGCCTGAGGTCCTTGAACTGTATAAATGATTAAGATTTCATAACACTACAGGCAAAATTCTTTCCCTTGATCCATGCTGTAGACATCTTTTGCATTTTCTGCACACATGGTACTTTCATTTCCATCAATGGGAATTCCACATGCTGAATAAGGAAGAAATATTTGCATTCTGGATAACTGCCTTATTTGGGCACTTCTTAATACTTTCTCGGGCAAAGCTCCTGCTGACTTTGATCTTGTTGGCAAGCTGCCCCCTGGATGAGAGTCCCCGGTTTGAAGAGTTGGTAAATGGCATTTTAACGGCAAGGGTCAGCAACAATTGCCGTGCCATTTTTCTTGCTTTCCCCACCACAAAGCTATCATCTGAAGTAAGGCACTGCAGTTCTTTTTTGGAAGATTAATAGTTCCCTGCTAGTAACAGATTTTCCACTAGCCAGAAAGCAGCACCCCCCACTGATGAGTTTATCATTTGAACTTTGAATCCAGTCGGGAAGTTGAGACGTAAACTTTCCATGATGGTGATTTGTGGTATATTTCCAGTTTTCAGGGTCAGGTTATTAACCGGCGTAACAGTGATATAAGCACATGCCGTTGAGAACATGAATCAGATGAAGCATCTGACAAAGACCTCACTGTGCAGGCAGCTTTCCTAGGAGGCTGTGGAAGTCTGATGTGTGCCATGAAGCTCCAGGTGTCACATTTGAAAATACCACAAGTATTAACAACCTGTGAGTGTATATAAAACTTGGCAGCATTTTTGGTACTTAGGGTTTTATGCATTGGCCTAAGGAAGGATTTTCATTTTGTTCAAAGATACGCACTTCTTAGTTTTTCTGTGCTTTTCCCTATCAGTTTGAGGGAGAAAAATATTGACAAGAAACCAACCCAACTGACTGAATTGGGTAGTTTAT